AAGGTTTATTCTTACATCAGCATTTTTTCCCATCTTATAGAGATCACTTAAACACGCATGATTGTTTGTAAAATACATGGAGGGTATTTTTTCGGGGGCAGGGGACTTTTTTTTCGGTGTCCATGGGAAATAATCTCACAGATGGGAAATCATACCTGAACTAGGAAGATCTGGCCTTAAATAACCTTTTCTCCTACATCAAATGAAGCTACATATATACTCTTTAAATAAAGGAAGAAAAGTAGAAAGCATATGAATAGCACTAAGAAGCTAGCAATATTGTGTTTGTCAATTGTGTAAGAAAATTCAAGGAAGTACTTCTCTGCTTGAAACCCAAACATAGCCAAGCTCTAGCCATATGATTTCTGGGAAAATGCCAGCCAAGGAAAGCTGAGTAGATAGAAATAAAATTTGTTTATAATATTGTTTTTAAACTAGGCATACTTTCTCTCTGAATGCTGTTTGATGAATAAGATGGATGCACAGATGATAAACAGATGATAGAGATATTTGCCTGACTTAATCATATTTAACCAGTTTTTTGGCATTTTTAAAATAGCTTTTATGCCAGAATTCAAGGATTTTGCATAACTATTTTAGACAGTGTTTGACAATGAAAATTCTCAATAGCCAAAAATTAAATCTTTGCTGAGTAATTCGTTGTCCTTCACCCAATATAACTTTTAACAGATGGCAAGCAGAGTTGTTTTAGCAAGAGGTCATTTGGGGACCATTTGTGCGAATTAAGAATTAACACTTGTTGTTGGTGATGCTTCTATATTATACCTCTCCAACTGATAACCATGGAAAATGAGCAACAAACTGGCAGATGTGCAGGATGAAAAGAAGCAGGAAGGAACAGCAGTGGAACTACTGACAGAGTTCAGAGAAAAAACAGGAAACTTAGAAGACTTTTAGATGAAACCATCCTCTCGATGAACAAAGTGCAAGTAACCGATTATGTGATAACTTTGGTCATTAGTCCCCTCATGGCATAGCCTCCCTGTTCTATGTTAAAGAATTCTTTCAAAATAAAATCTACTCCCTGTAATCTTTTAATCAACCTTATTGATATGAAAGTATAAAAAATAAAGAATATCTATGTGAAGATTAACACATCTGAGCAATGTTTTAACTTTTTGGGAACTGGATTTTTGAAGACTAGAAACATGAAATTTGGGAGAAAAACAAAAATAGAAATATGTAATACTATTAGACTTGCTATAAATTTAAGAATGAAAAATGAAAAGAGAATGGGATGTACTTTCATGTGAAATATGAAGTACCAAGAGGTAACCAATTTGCATAGGGCAACCATTAAAATATTACAGGATTTGGGGAATATTTGAGCTGTTCACTGAATTACAAGTGTCATTTTCATTATGGAGCTTTCTATTCTGCACCTTGCACTAAGTTTCACAGGATCGAGTTATGCAGAGTGTGGCGATAGTAACTTTGTATTGAGCTTCAGTACTGCTTAAAAGTGCCCTGCTAACAGAGGGTGCAGTTGGTACAGCCAGCCCATCTCCAGAATGCCCCGTGCCGAATTACAAATGTTAAATGCACCGCTTCCATTTCTCCAGGTCATTCCTAAAGAAGAATGACACTACAGGTAATGTTAACAACAGGCATACATGAGACTATGTAGTCTTCATTGTTGTGCAACAAATAACAGTGGCATGTGTAAAGGAGTAGGAACTATCTACAGCAGAGCAGTCTGAGAAGTCGGGGGAGCAGAGCAGTGCAGACCAGGAAGAGCATCTCTACATGCCAGCAGGTGCGTGGAAGAAAGCAGATGGCGCTCCTTGGCCATCAGCCAGGGACTCGGGCTGTCCGCTTCATGAATAATCACAGAACAACCAGACTACCTGATCACCCCGACTGTGCTGTTCCCTTGCATTCCAGCATCATCTTACTTCACCTCATCTCACGATGGCAGCACCCTGGGGACCATCCTGATGGAACTTAATGCAGGAAAGCTTTCTATCCAAGAGAAAAAAATGACACAAGCTATGCCTGCCAATACTGACTCACTCCCCTTCCTCTCTCCAGCAAGATCACTGCTACAGTACCCCCATATCTCACATGCTCACTCACGTTTCCTGAACGATGAAGGAACTTGGGGTTACTAAACAAACATAATGACATCATTTTGCATGATGTAGATTAACAGAACTTGAAGACATCCAGCCATCTGTGTGTATCCATCTTCTCCCTTCCCTTGTTGACCCTCAGGCTGAAATCTTTTGGCTTTTGGAAAATTAATATCTCCTTAATTCATTCATTCATTAAATTAACTACACATATTTTGGTTTTATCAACTCATGACATAGGAAACCTGGAATACAAGTAGTAGTTAATAAATACTAATTTTTGAAAATGCTCTAGAACAGAAGAAATTATACGGTGCATTCATTTGATGGTCTTGCTTTATATATTTATATATAATAAAATGCTTACTTTAATTATATAGACTCAATGTTTATCTTCTCTGGTCATAATATTAATGCGTTTTTACTTTTCTCTAGTTAGACCCAATGCAAATTTCTTGGTTTACAGCTGCGTGTACATGTGTGTGTACGTGTGTGTGTGTGTGTGTGTGAGTGCTTCCTCAGAGCCTACTGCATAATCAGTACAAAGAAAAAGGTATTTATAAAATATGAATGGCTCTCCATGTGAACTATGGCAAACATAGAACTTGGCTCCTGCACACAAAAATGTAAAAACAGGTTGACCTTCCAAGTCCACTGGCATCTCTATATTGAGAACATCCTCCAGCCTTTGTGTTCATCTGTTGAGCTCCTCCAGCTTGGACTCTTCTCCAACATAACCATCAGATGTAGCACAGAAGCAGCCTGGCTTCACAGGGACACAGCATCCCAGTTCTCAAGTTGCTATTTTTTGTGTCATAAGTTAATTCAGTTATTGTGGAACCAAAACCCTATGAGACTTATTTTCAGTGAGTGAGCTCAACTGCTGGTTACCCACAAATACCAGTAAGAATGAGTAACTAGGCCTTCACAGCAGAGAACACAACGCTTCACCAAATGTGGGGCTAGCCAAGATTATCTCCTGTCGCTCTCATCCACTTGTAAGTTACTGAGGAATTACACACACCTCCAGATTGACAAACAATTTCCCATGTGGTGATCACTTCCTAGAACACCCCCTCAAGCTACAGTGAAACCGCAAGTTCACCTCCACTGCCTTGAATCTGGATGCCAACCATTAACTACCCCTGAGCCTGTCTCTAAGCATCAGACTCGATGCCAATACCTTGTAGGCCTCAAGGGAGCAGAGAGCCCCCAAAGCCCTACAGTCTCCCCTGGCTAACATTTCCAACAGCATGAGCAAAAGACCTCCAGCTTGCCTCCTTGCTCAGGAATGGACTCACAGTCAAAAGATGCTATCAAAAAAGCATAATCTTTTTTTCAACCAATGTATGGCAGAAATCTTCTTGATGCTAGTAGGGTGCAAAGTAGAAGATCTACGGCTTTATCCAGTTTATATTCTAATGTCAGTGGGGTGGATGAGGAATTTAAAATAAATTTTAAAATATTACATGTGAATACATACAGTGAATGTATATGGGAAAATCAAGTGGATGATCAAAATGGAAAATAACTTCTTAGATGGAGACATTAAGTAGCAATGTGAATAAAGATAATCTGGGAACTGTACATGCTGCGGAACTCAGATGGCCACACTGGCCAAAAGGCAGTGAGTTTGGTCAAGTGTATAATAAAACACAGGCCTTTGCAGCTAAAGCTGAGGAGTCTGGATTTCAGTTTCAATTTCATTAGCAGGTTTAACCAAAACAGCAACTAGCTGATTTCTGTATCTTGTACCATAACTCTGGCTGGTGTGACGGTATGACTCGGGGTGGTGCAAAACAACAAAAGAAGAATTCACTTCAAAGGTAGTGAAGACACTACCTTTGGCAAGACGGGGCGATGACTTAATTTACTGTGGTCACATAGAGGTTGATGAGAGAGACCCAAACAAGACACAGCTTGGTTTGGTCAGAGACATCAAGACTAGACAAGAGACAAGATTTGAACACTGAGGTTGTGGCTTCTGCAGTTTTCATATGAACCACTGCGTGCTTTGTGGTTCTATTTAATGATAGGTGGAAAATTGTGGAAGGAATACATTTGAGGGGTGGGTCGGAAAACTAGGGAAATGAGACTTCATTTTGGTTAATTTTTCATGGGCTGATAGGAGTCCTGGATTAGAAACAGTCAGCCTAGACCACTGAAGACACGAGTCTGAGTTTTCAGGGGCAGACATGAGGGCTGTTGATGTAACTGAGCAGCAGAGACAGTTTTAAGCTATGAGGTTAGAGGAACGAATGTAGAAAGAACACTTTTACTGATAAGATTAAGAGACTCCAGACTAAGATTGAATTATTCCGAGATGTATAAATCATAAAAAGTCAGAAAAAATGCTGAGTAAATGCAATTAGTGACATAGGATAATAATGAGAGGAATGTTTTATATGAAGCCAAGAGTGAAGAGTTTGCAGGAGAGAGTAGTCTACTAATGAAAAGTGAGAGGTTGTGTAAGATTATCTTGGAGAAATGGCCACGAGATTTCACAGATAAAGGGAATGGAATACACTATTGTTCAGATTTCAATTTCATAACCAACTGAATATTGAAAATTAAGTGGAAAACTTTTTTAAGCCTATAAATTCTGCCATAGAAATAGTGACTAATGCAAAAAGGGGAAGAGCTTTGCCATGTTACACAAAGAGCAAAAAGAAAAAGCTATCATTACATATTTTAGCTTAAAATATTTTCCAAAGGGACTTCTAAACATTGGCAATTTCTGCATTGTTGCAAGCTAATTTTATATTCATTTATGCATAATTTCTGGCTGATTAAAGTCTGAAATATTATGTTAATCATGAAATAAATTTGTTCAAAAAGTTTTACTTCGAACAAAAATTTAAAATAGAAGTATATTTCTGAGACTTAAAAATGTTTTCTCTAACACAGGTATGGTGACATGGTGCCAAAAACCATAGCAGGGAAGATTTTTGGTTCCATCTGCTCGCTGAGTGGAGTCTTGGTCATTGCTCTACCTGTCCCAGTGATTGTCTCCAACTTCAGTCGGATCTACCACCAAAACCAGCGAGCAGACAAGCGGAGGGCACAAAAGGTGTGTATTCAGATCTGTGCAACCATGAGCTTTGAAATCGTACTTATAAGCAGTGCTTCTATTCAGAGAATCTGAGTTGCTCAAAACTGGCGTCTGCCAGCACCAGCTAGGTTATTCCAAATACCAAAAAAATGTATTCTTTAATCATGCTACAGGTCCATGATTACACAGAGACAGACTTATTTTGACCATACCTCGAATTATGGGCAAAGTACCTGCCAAACCACGGAAGGCTTTCCCAGAAAATGACCCAAGCCACTCCCATATCTGTATCAACCAAAGCCAATCCTATAAGCACAAAACAAGCAGCGAAATATAACCCTGCCACAGAGCCAGAGGCAAGAAGGAAGTAGTATGTGTGAACAGCATTAGCAATAGCAGTGAAATCAAGAACAAACTTTTAGTGAAATTTACTACAACCAGATTTCTACATGTGATTTATTGGGTCTGTCCATGGATCAAGTTGGTACGGAAGAGGGTTATTGAAGAACATCAAAATATAGCTGAGATAGTCTAAACAGTTAACACAGGAAGTAGAAATATTTAATCATTAGTATTGGGTCTTATTTCTAGCCCAGCAATTGGCCTCATCTATGAAATGTGCACAATTAATTTGACTAATGCCTAACACAGTGCACAATCAATAAAATGGGCAAAACCATAGATGTTCAAATATGTAAATTTATATTAACATGTATTAATGTTAATAGCATTTAATGCATATGATGGCTTGTTATTTATGTGGCAACAATGTAACATTTCTCAACAAAATAATTCTTATAATTCACAATTTGGGGAGTCAGGTAACATTATTCCATTTATGGAATCCTATGGCGCCCCTAAAAGTTAACAGGTCAAATGTCACCTACCCAGTAATTGGAGAACCATCAAACCTGACTCCCAGGTTATACACTTTAACACTGTAATCATTGGCTGCTTAGAAGAACTGATTGAATATCAGTGTACTAATGTCACATGCATTGTCCAAATAGACACGCCAAGAAGCTGGACATCTTGTGCTTCAAAATAACCTTAGAGGGTCTGGTGTGATGACTCAGCAGCTAAATCCTTGCTTTCCATGTGCTGGGGTCTCATGTGGGCACCGGTTCATGTCCCAGCTGCTCCACCTCCCATCCAGCTCCTGCTTGTGGCCTGGAAGGGCAGCAGAGGATGACCCAAACCTTGGGACCTAGAGGAGGCTCCTGGCTCCTGATCTGCTCAGCTCCAGCCATTGCAGCCTCTTGGGCAGCCAGCAGACAGAGGATCTCTGTAAAGCTGCTGCTTCCCCAGTAAAAAAACAATGATAATAATTAACTTTGGAAATATATTGTGTAGCTTCCTCAGTGCTTACAGTGCAATATTTTCCATGTTCTTCATGGTCACTGTATCTTTTGTCTTATAAAATTAAAACAAAAATCCACCCAAGCTGCTCACAACCATGACTACTGTGAACCCACAGGCTGGTTAATGTGGTGTAACTGTAAACCATCACAGGATTTTGGGTCAGCTCATGACTGCTCTTGCAGACAGTAATCCTACCACACATGATAAATAGAATTTGAACAACACTGGTCCCTTTAAAAAAAAAGTCTCATAAACTATTTGAAAAGTTTAGGTTAATCACTGCGGCCACACAGCATTGTCCAGAGTTCATTGATACGCATTGCAAGAAACCATCTTTTAGCAAACACTCTTTCGGCCTTATAATTGTCTGCCTCGTGCAAGCTCTCGTTTCTGGACAAATGCCTAGCTTTAACCAATTAGTACAGGGAAGAGTGCACGGCCCAGTCAGCATTGGGTATGGACAACTGATAATCCCAGGAGAAATGGGGTTAAATAAAACACTGCCGGTACCATTGTGTGCTCACACTGAGGACACGCTTTCAAGCGGAGTTTTCAGGGCTTCAGCCGTGGCTGGCTCCTCGGCAGGGAATGTAACACACCACAACTGTGGCTGTGCCCGCCGTCCACAGTCCCTCTCCCTGAAGTACACACGCCTGGTGGAAAACATCCTACAAAGAACGACTCCCTCAACCGTCCGCTGTCAATAGACTGAGCGTTTTCATCTAACAGAGTACAGATATGAAGTCAGGTACAAACTATTTCCTGCTTTTCTTTCCAAATTAAAAAAAAAAGCAAAGTAAACTTCTCCTAGGCTTAGTTGAGATATATCTAGCAACGAATGATTTTACAAATGTCAAAATTATAAAAACAAAAGCCAAAAAATCCAGCTACTTCAAGTAGAAATGCCATCCAACCCTGTGTTAAAGCCTTAACTAAACAGTGACATGTGGGTAAATATGTCAGGTAACTGACACGTCTCACCCACACCTGCTACTACGCAGAGTATTCTACTATTTATTTGCTCATTCAGTTGCTCCATAAACATTTATTGAGTAAAGTATATTTGCCAAAATGAAACTGATTTCATAAGTAGCTGGTTACTACCTTAAATATCCTAAAGTCAGGAACCCAGCATGTTTTAAAATATGATGAATGCCAACCCTTGCAATCATGGCAAAAGTCATTATCATTATAAAGTAACAATACTAGCAATAACACTTTCCAAAGTTTCTTGTTTGTTTTGGGTGCTTTGTACTTGTCACTTAGAATATACAAAACAAACTTACAGATGTGGAGTTATTTCTGCTTTACATATGTCTTACACATACAGACACAACTAAAGACCCAGAGAAGAACATTCTAATCTATTACCACTGAGAATTTACATACAGTACGTATACAATGAACGAGCCAACTGCTATGCAAGTAAACGTCTTACTTTTCATCACTATTTTGACACACAGAAGACGTTACTGATACTCAGTTCATCATTTGGCACACCCTGTATGGTTGTATTCACCAGTTAAGATTCTTTGGAATTACCTGGAGAACTTGTTGTAAATGCAGATGAGCAGACCCCCATCCCCACAGCACCCAATTCTGCAGTTTGGGATCAGAGCCTGCAACTGCGATGCTTTGCATTCCTAACAAGTTCCCTGCCGATATTCAGATGATGTTCTTAGAACTGCACTATGAAAACCATCTCCTAATACATTCAGCATGGTCCAGATTACAGGATTTCTAATGTAATTGTAGAATGATGAAAAAGCAATAGTTTCTACCTAGTCCCCGAGGAAGATCTTAGATTATCTACCATTAAATATAAAATCTTCTAGCTTCTGTCCCAAGGGTCTCTGGGGAACTTGTTCTTTTGTCTCTAGCTTAAGAACCTGCATAATTCTCCATATCCACTGTTTCAACCTCACCAAATCAGCTCTGCTCTTACATCTGCACCTATCCTTGTACCACCTGACGTAGCCACCTGCAAGCTCCTACCCAAGATTCAGGACTTAGATAAAATATATTCCTTTTACAAACGTTTTTCTGGATGTGATGGCACCATTAGTTATTCATTCGTCCCTTGCAACGTTATGCATACAATCTATGGCCATGTTGTGCCACACTTTCCCCTTCATGCACTGCACTGAGTGTAGCACCTGGCATGAAAGATCATCAGATTTGTGCAGTGAGTGAAATAACGAGTGTGTGAGCAAGCAGGGCTTGTTAACCTGGGCAATGGCTTCTGTGCCTGCAGCACACTGAACAAAGTGCCAATTGTAAGCAATATCAGGAAGCATGATTTTGTTTGTAATACCCCCCTTCACTCTCCTCCATTTCTTCCCTCTTTTATTTCACTGTCAATGCCTATAGCCTTCTACTTAGTCCCGGTCTGCCCAGCACTGCCACCTCCCGCATTAATGCAGCTCTAGAACTAAACAGCACTGCACTGTCTCCTGGTGGAATTCCTTTAACTTTTGGTCTCTATTACTGTGTGGCCAGACCTTTACTCGTGACTAGAGCAGCCATTTGCCTTACCAAATAAAAGATTTCAAGATCCTTAAATTTATAACAGCTGAGAGACCTTGATGTGCTACATGAAGTATTTCACTAGATTTTAAAGGAACGAAATGGTAAGTGAAACATTCAGAATATGTGATACAGGGAATGTATGGGCCAATTTGGAGGCAAAGGAAATTGTCCAAGATTACCAAGGAGAGAGACTTTCTCCTCTCACTGTTCAAGGTTATTTTGCTGAAGTGTTGAAAATATTTGGTAATGGGCCCGGCGTGGTGGCGCAAGTGGTTAAAGGTCCTCGCCTTGCACGCACGGGATCCCATATGGGCGCTGGTTCTAATCCCGGCAGCCCCGCTTCCCTTAGAGCTCCCTGCCTGTGACCTGGGAAAGCAGACCAGGACGGCCCAAGGCTTTGGGAACCTGCACCCACATGGGAGACCCGGAAGAGGCTCCTGGCTTCGGATCGGCATAGTATCGGCCCGTTGCGCTCACTTGGGGAGTGAATCATCGGACGGAAGATCTTCCTCTCTGTCTCTCCTCTCTGTATATCTGCCTTTCCAATGAAAAAATAATAAAAATAAATCTTTAAAAAAAAAAAGAAAATATTTGGTAATGTGGTAACAAGGAGGTTCAATAATTTCCCTCAACATGTCTCACATTCCATTTGGAGTCTGGTTGCCCATTTAAGAGAAATCTTGATTTCAGTGTCTGACTTAAAGATCTTTCTCAACTGGACATCCAATCACTGTTTCTGGAAAGATATTGCAAGGTTTATAAAATTTGATGTAACTAAAAAGCAACCTATTTGCTAAAAATCATTGTGTTCCACTCTACAGTAGCTTCTGAATGCATCACAGTGAAAGAGCTCAATGTCAAATTACTGAAAAACATCTGCATACTCTGTCCACAGTGTGTGGACTCCAACAGTGAACATTGCAATCCACAGTGTGGGGACTCCAACAGTGAAGAGATCTGTTTAACATCTTAGCAATTCCCAACCTCTCCGTGACCACAGAACCAGTTGTTTGTCTAGCTGGTTGAAATTTTACCCAATAGACTTACTAATTTCTTGAAACCCACTCAAGCAGGCAAAACCAAAATTTATGGATAATTTGGGGTAAATAAGAATGTACTCATAAGAGAAAGTTAGGTTTTCTCAAAAACTATTTCCTAAAGCAGATAAATAATTGGAAAATAACTACAAAACTTTTATATAAACCCTATTTCTAACTAAAATTTTGGAATCCTCCCACTTTTGATGTAAGCAGAATAAAGTACTTGCCGCAGCTTTACTCTAATGCTCCTACTATTTTCTGGTACTCTGCCATGCCAAGAAGTTGTATTTTCTGCAGAGATAAAGGTAGATGATTGGAAGGAATATATTTCTTATTATCAGCATCCTGTGTTCTTTTCATCTCCCAGTTACAGTCAGAGTTGCCAAGATTGTCATACTAAGTAGGTCAGAAGTGAAGTGGTTTTCTAAAACGTTTTTGTAAAATAATTTCCTTCAACTACCTGCTGGAACCAAAGATGTAATCACAGGTCATAAAGGCTAGCATTCAACCGGCATTTGGTGTGGAGCTCTGCACGACCAATTAAATCAATTAACTTGTACAGTATTATAGTGAAACAAGAGAAGACGTGATGGAAATGGAGATGGCAGCACCTTTTCTAACACAAGATGTGAATTAGGAGATGCTTCTAGTCTTTCTGTAAAACATTTATTTTTCCCAAAGCAAAGAATTCCTGCTAAAGTTGTGGCCATATGTGTACTCTGCTTTAGAAAATGAGAAATATACATTTTCCTTTGTTGGACATTATTTCTGGTTAACACATGTGTCTCATTCATGAAAGAAAATAATATTTCATGGCACTGTTAAGTATTTAGTGAACAGCATTAATAACAATATCATTACATACAATAATTGCAAAAACCAAAGGAGACAGAGAGCCAGAAAGGCGTCGAGGAAACAGGGAAGGGAGATAGACAGGGGTGGAGGAGTGGATGGGAGACATTCAAAGAGAATCCCCCAAAAAGGCAGTAAAAGCTCCAGGAAACAGACATTGTAAAACTAAAATCTCAGCAATAGCCTCCTTCTTAAAATGAAAATGTAATCATAAATGCAAAGACCAAAAGGTACCCAAGATGGGGAAAAAGTCATGCTTGGAAATACAAACTAAATGCAGGTGGCCACCTAAATGAGCAGTAGGCACCCAGTCCGTTAACTGAGCCAGCACTGCTGATTCCCGGGGTTGGAATTGGCAGGAAGGGACACTAGAAGGAAAAAGGGAAGAAAACACAAGGGGAGAGAGGAAGGAACAGAAAAACAAGGAGGATGCAGCTGGCTTCTGGAACTTAGTTCTGGATTTAAAAGGGACACTCGTTGAAAAGAAAAGTGGTGTCAACTGATTTGCTAGCCTGCATTCTATATCATTTAGTTTTGCCTTGACACACTCAAAAAAAACAATATTGAAATAACTTGATCCTACTATTAAACAAATTTAATCCCCAAACGCATGGAATAAATTGAAGGTAGTTAACAGTGGTTATCTTTATTATCATCAGGTAATTGTCCTGCCAAATGTTAACTTATGCAGAGTACACAAAAGGAGTACTTTTCAATGGTGATATGTGAAAACATGAATTACTAAAAAATAGATATGCATGCTGACATAGCAGAGTGCATTTGCTCTTTTAAGGAAAACATCCACAAATCTTGACAGGCTATTTCTTTTTTTTTTTCTGCAGAAAGCTAGACTGGCCAGAATCCGGGCAGCCAAGAGTGGAAGTGCCAATGCCTACATGCAGAGCAAACGGAATGGTCTACTCAGTAACCAGTTGCAGGTACAGCCACACACTTTGTCTTATTTAATTCACTGATGTAATATCGATTGAATTCTATTTAACCATATCATTTTATTGTGGGTAATTAAGAAAATGGCTACTGAAACACAAGTATCATTTATTTTTAGCTTCCCCCCATGTATTTCCATAGGCTGCAGTAGGTTAGACACTGTGTTACGAACTATTGCCAATGACTCATGATTCCTGATCATGATTGGGTATCTCTACACACCTCCTATTACATAGAGGGGTTAATGATGTGCAGTAACTTACATGCTTAATACCTCTTTGTCGCAGAGTAACAAGTTGCTTAAAATTCTTCTGGACGAGGAGGGGTTGAGGAAATGACAGGTCTCATTTTCCTTGTAAGTGAAGAGAGGACCGCATTCACTGTTATGAAGTCCATGTGGTATATATAATTTAAAATTCTTCCTTTAATGTTCAGAATTCTAATCCTATTTTTCCCCCACAAAATGAGCTATTATGGAAACTAGCATGGGAGTGGTTTCCGGATGGTGAGATTATTAGGTTAAATTTTTTTTTATCCAAAGAAAATGGTCCTGAGGTTTATAAAAGTAAGAGATTTCAAATTTCAGTTCAGGAAGGCCAGACTGCTAATTTGATGAAAATGGAAATGCTGATCATCCAACTTGGAGGGAACTGCACGTTTGTTCCTTTTTAGTTTTTTTTTTTTTAATATCTTGACATTTAATCTCAGAAAATAGGTCAGATCTCTCCGTGGAATGTGTAGCTGAAGTTCTCATTGTTTGCAAATAAAATAGAAAGCCTTCTGTCCTCTCTGTATCAACAGTCCTCCGAGGAGGAACAGGCCTTTGTTAGCAAGTCCGGCTCCAGCTTTGAAACCCAGCACCACCATCTGCTCCACTGCCTGGAGAAAACCACGGTAAGGGGCCCACAGGCCGGCCTCTGCCCTCTGACCGGAATGCCATTTGTTTCTCTGCATACTTAACACTTCCACGCGTGTTCCACTGTGTGCATTACAGGAAAAATAAGAAACAAACAGTCCTCCCCTGCACTTTGAAAGACAATAGCAAGGTGGCAGGGATTGTGGAGATGTAGTTAGGCTGTTTTGCTCTCAGTGGTTACTTTAGATTAAGTCCAGTGTAAACTATGAGTTAAATGAAGATGCAATTTGTCTATAAAATACCATTTTCCTTGATTGTTAAAATGCTAATTAAAACATGGAAAATCTGGAGTTTGGGATGCCAGGATAAAAGAGAATATCAATAGTGATAAAGAAAAAAAATAGAACTCCAAATTACAAGCATTGCTTTCATTTATAGTTGTAATGAATAGGAATAGATAGTAGAAAAGCGTAAGTTCTCATGAGAAAATGGCACATACAATCACTCTTGTGTCCCTAAGTATTAAGGGATCTGCTTCTCTCTCCACTCCCAAACACTAACACCTCCTCCAGAGCCATGGCACTACCATACAACTTCCCAACACCCACATCAGATCAGTTCACACACTCAACATCCAGGAAGTTACTTGTACTTGAAGACTCTCAATGCAAGCATATTACCCATGCGACTGTTCTGCCTAAGTGTCACTCAAGAAATACATATTCCTTCCTTGCTATGACCCTACAGCCAAGTCCAAGACATACTGTGAAATCAGGCCTGGCCCCTGTGTCGACAGAGCCTCCCTTTAGGGGAAAACTACAAACACATGTTACCGGAGGAAACCAGGAAGCAGTGGAAGCCATCATGAGCCCAATGAAGGGGGACAAAGATCCCTAACATGTAAAGCTTTCTGAAGGAACTTGAGACCTGCAGGTGACTTGAAGTTCATTAGGCAAAGAAATGAAGGCACCACCAAGTGATAGACATATCTGAAGAAAGCAAGCGAATGAAAGAACTTGAGGTTGGCCACAAGGACAAAGTAGAGCCAGCACAGGAAAGGTATAGAGAAGCAGTGGCCAGGTAATGCTAGACCGTACAGACAATGGGGAAAATTTCGATCAGCACCTGATGTAGAAAGAAAAATTTAGAGAGTTTAACTCACGGTTACTTTTGGATCTTGAAATAAAAATGTAGACAAGTCTGAAAGTTGAATGACACATTAATGACAGGACCCATTATTCCTGTCTTTTTCCCTTCATTTTCCTTTTTCCTCTACTTTACCATTTAGGGCTTTCCTTAAAATAATTATTTTAAATGACTTAACACAAATTGATTTTAAATTCAGCAGCCTACAAAAGAATCATTTCTTGCTTTCGAACCCTAGGAGATAAATTGGAATTTTTAATTTAATTTTAACCTCCATAGGCTCTGGGGTATCTACGCAACCCTCTCTAGCCCCTCCCTACTGATTTCCCCTAGACTATTACAATAATATAGTTCTTCAAAAAAATAGTCGTAAGTTCACTATTCTGCTATGTAAGTGTATCCTGACATTGTAGGTATGGACAATGGTAGAGAGTCCAGCATCCCATTGTCAAAATATACTCCACAACTGAGACTAATAACTCAACACTGGGAGTCCATCTTTGATTCGGAAGTAGAGATGCACGCTGCCCTGCATCCTCACATACAGGATAATTTTCTTTATGTGTGTGAAATGTACTTTGCAGCAGAAGAAAACAGATCATGGGTGTTTTCCACCCTATATTTTTCTTTAATATTTAGTGAAAACTGGGTTTTATATGATCATAGCCTCTGGATTTTAAATATGTTAAATTCCTTGCATTTGGAAATGCTTGTCTCAGCAAACAGATGGCAGAATAACTTAAAAAATTATATTTCCCTCTTAGCCAGTAACTACAACTTTTATACTTGTATCTTAGAATGAGAGCAGAGATTTCTACCAAAGAACTACCCCCGCTACCATACACACAAAAATTGAAATCATTAATATTTCAGACAAAAATTTTTTCTATGTCAGATTAAGTTTGCACATAGTCGTTTTATTAAACATCTTAAAAGCAAAATGCATGTTGTATTTCTATAAAGTGAGCTGTGACATGATGCCCGGTATTGCTCACTGCTGGGCTGGCAGCGAGGAAGTTAGTAGTAGAGCAACCCCAACACAGGTGGGTGTCATTAGTGGCCAGTAATATGTTGCAATGGAGAGAAAGGAAGACACAGAAGACCAAAGCAATCGCCTGAGTCAAATACAGGGACACATTGGACGGGTGAACACATATCATTCATTTAAGTGCTGTCACATTTTTCTGAATACTAGGTATTTTAAAGGAGTGTAAAGAAATGAAAAGGATCATAGTCATCTTTGTATAATTTTTTAATATCACATAAAATATTTGTTAAAACAAGGGGTCTTCAGAAAGTTCATGGGAAATCTATATTATGAAAAATATATTTCAGACATTTTGCAACAAAACCAGTCTTTCAATTTTCTTAAAATTTGAATGCCATTTTCATGAACTTTTTAAAGACCTTTTATAGATAACAAACTAGGGACATTCTATTAAAATTGTCTTATTTCTATAACAAAGTTTAAAATGAAGCTTATAAATTGGGATGTTTGATTCACAAATACAGATTTACAAATTCTCTGCAAGTGTTATCTACGTTCACTTTAAATATGTGTAGCTTACTGATTTGATAAAATTAATCATTTCCATGCTTTTGATATTTCAAGCTATAGCCCATATTTAGACACTGAATCAATGTGTATACATTAAATCTCTAGGTTTAACTAAAGAAATTTTATTTCTACACAAGTGCCATAAAAAGTGGTTTGAATATTCTAATCACAATGATTAGACAGTGATACTAATGGAGTCCATTATACCTCCACTTAAAAATAAAGCTATGCATTTTCTTTAAAATCTGTGAACACATATTTATTTGCTTTCTTTCTATTTTCTTGTCACTATTAAACAGAATCACGAGTTTGTAGATGAGCAAGTCTTTGAAGAAAGTTGCATGGAAGTTGCAACTGTTAATCGTCCTTCAAGTCACAGTCCCTCTCTCGCTTCACAACAAGGAGTCACCAGCACCTGCTGTTCACGACGACACAAAAAAACATTCCGCATCCCTAATGCCAATGTGTCAGGAAGCCATCGAGGCAGCGTGCAAGAACTCAGTACCATTCAGATCAGATGTGTGGAGAGAACACCGCTATCTAACAGGTACGTGAACCCCATCTGGGCCACGTGCACAGGGCTATGCTGGCTTACAGGTCACCCTCTGCAGCTGGGTTGTTACCTGCTGGTCATCTAGATTTTAGCTCCTAAGAATTGGAGAGAAAACAGATATTACAACAGGTAGAAAAAGAAATCCACTGGCATGCCCCAAAATGACCAAAGACGGAGAATAGGGCAGGAAGAACAGAGTAGACATTGTTGTACACTGAGCCATTCAGTTGGGTATGCTGCTATTCCATGATGGGATGGCTCTTGTACCAACCCAGCTTCGTGCTCACATTCCTGGGAGATACTTGGGTCCCTGACAGCCACATAGGAGACCTGAATGAATTTCTGGACTCCCGGCTTCAGATTGGCCCAGCAGCAACTATTGAGGGCACTTGGGATGTGAATCAGCCAAGGAATGATCTCTGTCACAATACCTGTCAAATAAGTAAGATAAGCAACTATTTACTTGGGTAGTTTTGGACTGATGGCCCATAAGTTCTCCTCCTCTGTTGGTGTTTGGTATTGTTTGCTGCAGACCTGCATGACAGTCTGAATTCAGGCCATAAATGGATCTACATAAATAGAAAGACCCTGGGACCCATACACTAATATTTGGTGTCACATCTCTGCAATGTTTCACATCTCTTATGAAACAAACTAGAAGTGGAGCACTATTTAGAATGAACACCTTACCAAGTGAAAATTATAATTGTTTTTTTCCTTACACTCAGGATAACATGCATGCCAGCACAGCACTTTGGGAAAGCCTTCAAGTTTTTAAGATTTATCTGAATGTTGGAATAACAGGGAGAAAGAAATATTGTCCACACAATAGTTTTCTCTCTAAATGGCTACAACACCCTGGACTTCTCCAGGCCCAAGCCAGGGGCTAGGGACTCTATCCAGGCCAATGATGTAATAGGCACTCAAAATTAGCACCATCATCTGCCGTTTCCCCTGCTCCTTAGTGGGGAGCTGGTTTGCAAGTGGACTTGCCATTGCCAGAACTGGCACCCCAATATGGTATGTAAGCATTCCACTGCACCAGGATTGCCCAGCCCAAACTTGAATAAAATAGCTAACATTTTGAGGATTTTTAACTTATGGTCATCACAGAAGTGAAAGCTTTCAGAGGATTATACAAGGGTTCTTCAAAAAGTTCATGTAAATTGTTACTAAAAAATAGCTGTGGATTCTATTTTTTTACATAAATAATTCCATCTCCCATTGACTTTTTGTGATGCCCCATTATTTTAAGAAGATATATACTAAAAAGATTCTGTGGCCATGAAATCCCTATGATAGGATACTTTCTTTAAAAAAAATATTTTCATTGGAAAAGCAGGTCAGATTTACGGAGACACAAAGATCTTCCATCCACTGGCTCACTCCCCAAATGACCATAATGGCTGAAACTGAGTTGATCTGAAGCCAGGAGCCAGAAGCTTCCTCCAGGTGTCACACTCAGGTGCAGGGTCTCAAGGCTTTGAGCTATCCTCTACTGCTTTCCCAGGCCACAAACAGGGAGCTGGATGGGAAGTGAAGTACCCAGGACAGGAGCTGGCATCTATATGGGATGCTGGCACTTATAAGGTGAGGATTTTCCAATTGAGCCAGCACCCCAAGTCCATAATAGGACAATTTCATACTAGATTTTCAAAACCTTCAAAGTTCCCACATTAAAGAAATTTTAGTTATGATGTCTGAATCTTTCCCAATTCTATGTTGCATTTTTTGGAATGCACTTTGAGAAATACCTGATAGAATCAAACCTAGTTGGAATTTAGAAAGGATATACTGTTAATGAAAGTTTTTAAAGTAATTATTTCTTATGCATTTAAAATGTGACATAGTTAAAATATGCATTGCTCAATTGTATGAAAACAAATTGAAGCAACTGATTTGATTAAATCGGTATTTTTCTCATTAGCCGATCCAGTTTGAATGCCAAAATGGAAGAGTGTGTTAAACTAAACTGTGAACAACCTTATGTGACCACAGCAATAATAAGCATCCCGACTCCTCCAGTGACCACACCAGAGGGAGATGACAGACCAGAATCTCCAGAGTACTCGGGAGGAAATATCGTCAGAGTGTCTGCTTTGTAAGACGGTTGGAAGAAGTTCAAGAGAATTTGCACCCTGGCTGTGGAAAGAATCTCAGTGTTGAAGAAAGAAGATATAAACCATCTGCAGATCAAGACGATGACAGAAGAAGGTTGGTAGAAAAAGCAAAACAAAGCTTCCAACCTCGAGGCTGTGAATAAAACCACCCACTGGCATTTCCAGAGACTGACCTCTTACAGGAATATTCGGAGACCCTTGACTTTGTGAATGAGCACAATGAAATGCCATCTATTGATGCTTCTTAGGATCGGAACTCTTTTTATATAAAATGAATCTTCGGACCTAATGTTCCAGTTGAATGCAACACAACAAAAATATGGAGAACATTTTGATAAAAATTTTTCCTGTTGAAACCATAAACATTGGCAATGATGATTATCCCATATGGGGAAAAAAAAAACCCATGCAACCCATTTGTATCCACTGAAGGAACCATCACAATGCATGCTAGACTTCTTTGGAAGAGTGATCTCAGTTTCCTTATGTTGTCTTCAGAATAGGCATGACAAACTCTGCTTGTAGAAAGGGGGAACTTCTGTGCACTTACAATGAGCTGATCGTTCATGGTGGGCTTTCCAAATAAACTCCTTTTAGAACTGCAGTGTTTCTCATGGGGACTCTCACTAGTAAACAATGTGTTCAGCCAGTTCAGTATCAATTCTCCTTTAACCATGCACCTAGATACTGTTACAACTGCAATAATTCATTGTACACCTGTTGTATCAGGAATCGGGATTTTTTGTTGTTGTTGTACTTGCCAGATTTTCATAGATACAGTGAAAGCTACATTCCTAGAACAAGTTCTGGTGTGGCCAGTTTTAAGGTAACTTTTTAATTCCAAACTATTGTGCCATATATGTTTCTTGGTAATATTCTTTGGTCTAATGTATCCCTGTGATGTAGTGCATTACCTGTTCCTGTGTTTCTGTAGCACCTTCTATTGGGTTCACTATCATCAACTGGACTAATGTCAACCATAGCTCAAATAACTTTCCTCCCCCTGTATCCCCCTACAAAGTATCTTGTAAGGAGACTGTCATCAATCCCCTTGGCAAAAACCAGAGAAAAGGAGTTGATGTTTATGAATTATCTCCAACGTCTTTGCCGTTTATGGAGAAGCCCAGAGACTGGATATACCACTACATGTTTCATGGAAAGAGTTGACTGGGACTGATATTATAGGATCAATGATCTCAGAATCTTACTTGCTATATTATTTATTTTGCTTTAGATCTTGAATATGTTTTGAGAATAAAGTGAAATTGGAATGCAGATATAAAGATAAATTGGAGTGCTTTATGTAGCAATGGTTGATGAAAGCAAGCTTGCTATGACATTCAAGAAGGCAGCACAAATTCATCTTAGCAAAGTTGCTATGTGTCACAAGGTGCAATTTTCTCCGCCAAATCAGGAGAGCAAGAGTTTAATGACACAACGTTGATCTCTATGTACATTTAAGTGAAAAGTCGTTCCATCTTTTCACCCTTGAAATATATCAGACACATCTTCATGTGACAGTGTAAAAGTTTCACGTCAAATGAAGTTTTTGTTCATTTCATGCCACCATTATTAAGAAATAAAGCTTAGCTTCTGTACATGGGAAGAATCAAGAATTATCCCTTTATCTAGAGATTTAAACACTTAACATAATTTATCATAAAAAGGAATTAATCCAATGAATTCCAAGTAAAGCCAGAAATCCTCACTTCCCATTTCTAGACTAGCTTCTAGAACAGTGCTGTGCACACAGTAGCTCTCGATATTTGCGAAGTGAAATTAGGATCAACTAAATTGTGTCTGGGAAGAACTGGCTTTATTCCTAGTAGACCATTATAAAATTACTAATCTTCCAGCAGCGTGAATATTAACAATTACATTAACACCTGCCTTATGTCACTTTATGCTTCTAGAGAAAAATAGAGCGAAATATCTTTGATGGCATTTACTGGAAAACTTTTCTAAAAAGTAGACTAAAAACACCATGATCAGGAATACTTTGATTCCCAAGGAAATGTTCTATTACTGTGTTCTTACTATTACATAAAAAAAAATGCAGTTAGGTTATTTCTGTTGGCAATTCTGCCTCCTCTTCTGATTTATCATTTATCAAAACTGTTAATTTTTTTAGAATTTCGGAAAAGAAAAACCTTTTTGATGTTTTAGGTGATTTAAATATACTGTGTCGGTGGTGAATGACTTTTGATGACTGTTAAGTGCATCTGTATTGTAAGTGAAACGTAGTTATTTCTGTGTACCATATGGAGTAACTAAGGTCATTGTTTGACAGTTTTGTTTGAAGTTCATATATCTTATTTCAAAAGATAGCATAATACCTGCATTATGCTGGAAAAAAAATAGACCTTTGAAGAATACTTAAATAAAACACATGCATGCTGAAACAGGACAGTGTAGTCCATGGTTGCCCTGTTTTCGTGAATTTCATTTTCTTTCTATGCGACATGCGCCACTCTCAAAGCATTCACATGTGAGAACACTGGGACACATGCAAACTCGGACATCAACTGCAAGTAACACTTCGTAACACTTTGAAGTGGTGTAGGCAGTAGCTTTCCACCAACAATGGGAATTCACGAAGATGTAAACAGCAAAATTAATATCATTTAAGTAGGGACAAACTTTGAATCTTAGATGCATCTCCATTTGCATGCACCACTATTTGCCATAAGCAGAAGAGCTCTGAGGCATAGTGGAAGTTAGAACTCTAATCATTAACCAAAGGTCTTTCTTATACAGGAAAATATTATTTTAGTTTTGTGTATATATGTGTATATATAGATAGGCATAAACATTAGCAGTTTCATTTTAATATGCACACAATGATGTTTTCTATGGAATATCCTAGAGAGGACAAATAGAATGTTAAACAGTTCATTAGGAGAAGGTAAAAGACAAAAGCAGTCATCTAGCACAGAGACTGATTTTGCTAATAACTTACACCAACACAGGGTCCTCAGGGTAAAGAAACCACATTCTTGTTAATTCTTGTAGTTTACAGCCTTAATTTATTAAGGTATCAATCCTGTATTAAAAAGATTCAACACTCCACTCTCTCCCACATGGTCAGATATTGGCTTGAAACCAGCCTCTGGGGATTAGGTCCATGGCTAGCAGCAATATTGCACCGAAGAAGAAAAGGCTCTTGCTATCAAACAGATGACTCCTCAGAGTTCCATCAGAAAGGCAGCTCCGATTCCCTCGAGTGTGGTGAGGGTGTAAGTTATTAACTCAGAGATACAAGGACTGTTACTGCCCCCACTCTTTTTAAACCTCATCACAATTGAACAGATGTGTAGTGCAATCTTTTGAAAGGTATTTTTACCTTTTGGTTATATTAGGATAGTAAAAGATTCTCTAAGTGATTTTTTTTTTTACTTCTAAGAAATTGCTAATGAATAAATGAGCTGAAGACAATTATAAAACATTCCTTGCAAAAGGTTTTGAGTTGAAAATTTCAAATTAGTGTCAAATTTTGTTTTCAGCCTTTGCTCTTTCTACCCACTCCATATTTTCTTGCTGCTTGCTCTTCAAACAGTAATATTTTTCTAGCAATTTCCACCCTTCCTTAAATAAATGTTTCTCTGGTTTTCTCATGCAAATCAATATTAGGTAACTGTTTATTCCACATACAAGTTATGAAATGTTGGAGGTACATCAAATGTGGTAATAGATGGCAAATAAACCAGAAGAAATTCTTCTTAATGAATTCAATTGTGGGCAATAGCTCTAAAGAGTTGGGCATACCTCTAAGACCCAGTAAAGTTAGAAATCGTTAGGTTTTCTTTAATATATTTGCAATTGCTAGAATCACTGTTTAAGGCGGACTCTAAATCTATTGGAGAAAGAAACTACACTGAACAGAGTGTCTTAGGGTTTTATTTCCATGGTTTGTGCATTCGTTTATTACCAGGTTGGTAGGGTTAAGAACTCCACCTTCCTAGATGGACTCCACTGTAAAACTGGGACTATACGAGATAAGAGTACTTTTACAGTTTTTATATTCTCTGATAAGACGTTACGGCTGCCCAAGAGTTATCTCTGGGAGATTTAACAGATGTGTTTACCTAACTCAGGACCCATTCAACATTGCTACATTTTCTGATAACACTAAAAATTACATGTCTGGATTTTCCTAATCTAATAAATGTTTTAGTTAGATCATGTATTTGTATGGTTATTGTGTATAAACATGGAAGCTTTTTTTAAAAAATAGAATCCTTGTTAGATCCAGGGTTGGATATACATATGCAAGCAGTAGTGGCTGCGGGGTCTTTTTCAAAGACAATATCTCTGCATTGTCTTCGGTCTAAAATGTTTTCTTATACTGTTACTGCTTCCTGACTGAATACTAGTAAGTTAAAATAAGACAGGCTTTAGCTAGGAAACAATATTGCTGTCCTCGTTGCTGCTAGGTTTGTTTTTTCCGTCAACTTCATGTCAAGTCACAGCACACCGAGTTAACTTTCCAGTGAAAGAATTACAGGAGAGCATTCACCATCTCTCGGGTGCTCGCCTTTTTGCATGAAGTCTGCCAAAATTTCCCAGGGTGTAGATCAGGGCTGTGGTTATACATGGCAGCATCTAGTTGCCCAACAGTCTAAATCATGGAGGCTGATAACAGAATAAGTATTTTTAGAGTTAATATCAGTAACTGTAATTCCTACCTTTCCTTATGATTCTTTGATTCATATGAGTAAAAATTGCAAAATAGCACATGAAGTTGCTATTGGAATTTACATGCAAAATCAAGTGCAGAGATCCAGATATGGAAAACTACATATTTCAATATTCCAAATTAATATGCTAAAACTTAAAAGGCTTTGAATTTTTCCATCCTCACAAATAATTCTCCATATTTCTCTAACTGGTTGATGTATTTTATTTGTCCTTAATAAAATGGGAAGCTCCATTTAAGTTGTAAACACAGAGATTTGATTTACGTAGAACTGTACAAAATTTAATGTACCTTTTAAAATGGTACTTGAGATCCAACTCCCTGCCATAAAACTTCTTTGGATTTCATCGTTTGCTTGTTTTATGTTCCAAAATAACACTAGCCTATTAATAACAGTGCTTTACAGTCCCTCTCAGGCTCTTCCCACTTCCCAAATGATAAATACATCATTATCAGCATTAATGTTATGTCTAAGACTTCATGAAACCTTAAGATACCAATATGGACAAGAACACAGGTATGGGAAACCAATATTCAATCTT